GTGGCTTCGTGTCCTGCTACTACACTCTTTCTCATCCCTCGTCCCCATCCCATCTAGAGAGGCTTGGGAGGAGTACCTGCTCGGCTCCTCTACCTTGGAAGTGCAACACTCCTTGGTGGCGCACGCCCGGGCAGCGTCGATCTCCAATGGCGTCCCGGATTAGGGACTGCCACTCAGGCGCACAAAAACTCTCTAGTTCATTTCAAAATAAAAAGTTTACCACCACCGCATCTGACGTAACTCTACAAAGTACTGGTGTAGTAATAATAATAATTCTTGGGGTTTAACGTCCTGAAACCACAATATGATTATGACAGATGCTGTACTGCAGCTAGGGTTCCGTAAATTTTGATCACCAGGGTGTTTAATGTGCACTCAAATCCAAGCACACGGGCTTTGAGCATTTTTGCCTCCATTGAAAATGCGGCCGCCGTGGCCGGGATTCGATCCCACAACCTGCGGGTCAGTAGCCGAGTGCCGTAGCCACTAGACCACTGCGGCGGTAAAACGCTGGCGTAAAAGAATAACGGCCCTCTAGGAACTCTTTTTGCACCGTCTCTTTGCAATGAGAGCATAGGACACTCTCTACTAATGATGGCCGAGCTAGCGCGCGCGCCAGCCATCGTCACCATGTTCTTAGAATCATTGTTCAGACTTGCTGCTTGAGCAACAACCCCCTCCTCTCACCCTTGCGTCTTGTCATGCTGGTTGAAAACGGGCGTGATGCCTTTCTTCTACTTCAACGGCAGGCCTTCGATTGGTGTATTGGAGTCATGTTATTGCATGCACCCTCTGAGAGAGGGAGATTTGCTGGCTTGTTTGATCTCTGCTTCAGCCGCGTTCGTTGTCCCCACTCTTGCGCTTTTACCCGCATGTAGAACATGCGATGCGTGGTTGGATGTTATCAATTTGGGCTTTATACACAGGGGTGGAAGTGCTGTGCCAGTTGTGCCATTCTGCGCTAATCTGACCCGCTGTGCCAGGCTATGCATGAATGGCAATTTCCGCGACAATTGTCGATTTTGAAGTGTCAGCTGTCAAATCTGGCCAATCGTTATCGTTGATTGAGCACTGAACATTGGCTATACACAGGACGCGACCCCATCCGTATCCAGTGTAGCTCAATCGCGTTGTATTTCGGTTTCCTTTTCTTTTTTTAAAATGATGATAGTCTTTCTCGGGGTACTTTAATGAAGAAACTTTGGTCACTGTTTTTCTGTTCATCTGTTTGTCAAGCGAAACGGCGCAAGTACTTCCGCATCCGCAGCGCGCACCAATATTGCTCTGGTTTCTGCTTAGTACTTGTGCAATTGTCGATTATAAAGCAATTACTGCACATATCTGAGGCACAATATCAACACATCAATGTTTTTTTTGGTGTGTTTCTTTATACTAGAAGAGGCATACATAAGCAATTCTAAGAACTGTAGCAATTATTATGCTGCGCTGACAGTGCGACGCTATACACGAAAAGGCATTTCCTGCGCTTTGCCAAGACAATACGGTGCTGCCACTTACCCTGAAATCTGCAAAATATGCCCTCCAAGATGGTGCGCACGCTTTATAGCGGAGGCTATCTTTTTGTTTTCTGAAATTACTGCCAGATGGTGCTCATGTCTCATGTAGCGCCTCCAGAATACCATTCACCGACTTTCTCGTGCGAAACATAACAAAAATAAAGGTATTATCACTCTCTCCAGACGGAAGACAACGTCTTTCGACGAAATTTGCAGACAAACATGCAAATATGGGGCCAATTTTTTCTCAATCAGTCAATCATTTATTTTACAGAAAAATCGTAGTTACAATTGGGTTTTATACAGATACAGAGGGAGGTTTAAAGTCAACAGACTGTACAGGGGACCTCTCATAAGGAATGAGTAACAAAATTATGTACAACGCAGCTAAAATAAACACCGAACTAAAAACTGCAACAAAAGAAGCATAACACACTAACATGATTTGATTATTAAAAAAAAGGCTAAAAGTAGTGGTGATGATGGAATGATTATGCCGAGTGCAAGTAAGATCGAACGTTGAACTTGATTGTGTGGAAATTGGAGAGAGTGTTATTATGGCATGGTAATGAGTTCGAGTCGTGTGGCTGAGAAGTTAGTAGTGAACTTACCATAATTAGTTATGGGTTCCGGTAATAAATAGCTATTGCTGGAGGCGAAACGGATAGACAAAGATTGAAAATACAGACTTTTGGTGGTTATGGGGAACGGAAGCATTCCTCATCGCAGTTGTCGGTGTGGTTTTTTCGCTATAGTGGTGACACCAACATGAGTAACTGTGAATTATCTAGTAATACAGTGGGGGGGGGTGTTCTCGAAGTGGTGAGCACGCCACGCTCTTGGAGTGAATGGACACAGCAGACGCGGTCTGACGAAACCAAAACAACATACATTTATTTAAGTGCTTTTAGATTGACGATATCGTCAGCTGAATCATTGTTCATCAATTGTGATCAACGTGCTAAAACAACCTTACAGAAAATTACACAACACTCAACAACATAAACACAAGCACACACTCAAGGCGACTTTACCAACGCTTGACTTACCACGAGGGCCCACGGCAGACGGCCTGCGGTGCTGCCCACCGCAGGCTTCCCGCCAAGCGTCGCCACTTGCACTACTGTTTTAACAACCATGATGATGATGGTAGTGGTGATAAACGCTCGCAATCACAACGCCACCTATATCTCAATGTGAACCCTTAAATGCGGCTTACGTGCAAGACACGTATGCCACTTGGCACAAACAACTTTACAAGGGGTGTCAGCATCTCCCACAACAGTGAAACCTCGATAATTTGTACCAGCTGGGAATGTGGCATGATTATGCAGTGAGTGCTTGCAAAAGGGCTTAGGTAAAGATGCTGGGCTTGCACTCTCGGCATGATCATTTTACAGGGCGTAGTGCTGAGGCCAAGGAGCATTTCGAAACTATTATGCGGTCCGGCCCATCTAGGATACACAGTGACTGAAATAAGGACACTGTCAGCTTTTATTTTCTACTACAATGTGGTACTAAGTGACAACTTAGTTTCATTGAAACACAGAGTCGTCGTGGGGACTTGGGTAGTCTCCTGGTTAGTTGCGTGCAGCACAGTGCCTATGCTGCCCACACTGTCGCTGCCGGATGGCTCGCTCTACCATGCGTGCAGATTTGTTGCATGATTTGGTCGGCCCCACTTTTCTCCCCACCAAGCACAGATAAGCAAAGTAGTGTGTTTAATTAGCGAGGAGATAACAAAATTTTGCCAAGCGAAGTGCTCCGTGATTATCTATACTCAGTTTCACACATTAAGTGCAACGTCATTTGCAACACTGTGGTGGCTAGCGAGACTCCTTGCAGTAGGTGCATTCGCCTAAATAGTTTTCTGGCTTTACCACCCAGAATATATTTTTCATTTCATTTCAAGCTGAGTATTAGATGAGCATGTTTTGTATTACACACGCCTCCACACACACGTTTGTAGGTGTAAGTCTGGTAAGCTCATTAGTACTAATGTTTTGTGACAAACATTGTAATTTTTTTACCAGCATTAATTTTTATTGAGAGTGATGTTGGACCCTAAAAAGCTGCTCCAAAAACTAACTCGCATTTCGCTACAACACATGTTTTGGTGCTCCGAACCTGCTCCAAAACTCCCCTTTTACTGTGGCAAAGCTTCTGCAAAACTGTATTAATTTCTGCTCCCTGAGGTTTTCCAAAACACTCCACTTCCAACCCTGTATACGAAGCATGATGGTAACGGCGACGTTGAAAACCTGTGGAGAGTGTCCACATGATTGCTATTGCAATAATAAGGCTGTTGCACAAATCATGCTTCACAAATGCTGTGAAACGAGGCATTATCAGCTGTGAACTGCTCCAAACTGACTCAAAAAAGCCTTTCTGGCTGTTCAAAGCCTGCTACAAAAGACTTTTGCCTGCTCTATGAACTGCTCCCAAACCCATTTACCCTGTTTCACCCCTGGATACGAGCTGTGTTACTGACGTTGCAGACTTCTAGCTTCACTAAGTCATTCTTCACCACGGCACTTTGAGGTAGGTAGTTGCCAACTGTTGTCGCTAATTTCTTTCGAAAGTCATCAAGGAAATTCTCTGTTCAACTTCCACATGCCACAAGCTCGCTACTGCCAGCCACCCACAAATAAATGGACTCACGAAGTGCCTCAATCATACCGTAACTACAATGCGTATTTTCGCAGATAATCGTGATTAGGATGCCACTTTGCCCTATGTTTGCGTACAATTCGTCATGGCACGACATCGCTGGCTTTTTTTTCCTTTCTATCTCCTGTTTGGCCGCGACCCCAACTTACTTTGAGGCTCTTCTGCCTTCAACTATGTATCCTCTCGTCAAGTAAGCCCGTGATGTAACTGCTCATGCGGCTCGACAGATAGCACGGTATCGTCTTTCTGCCTCCCAGCTGTTTCAGAAGACACGCTATGATAATTATCACAGACATATTTCCTATTCTCCAGGCTCTTCGGTCCTCCTTTGGCCACCTTGCTGCCACATTGGGCTGTCATCGAAGCTTCTTTCTCTCTCTGTCTTGCTACTCCGAGCCTCAGAAAGTCCTACATCAGCTTACCGCAGTTACATACGATATCGCTCCGCCGGAGAGTAGTTCATCATCCCCCATACCCGTTACTGATATTGTGAGTGCCCCTGCCTTGAGCCCCCGTACTTCTATGTATAGGATTCTGTTCTTACTTAGGCACCTAGATGGTGTTATTAGGAATGGGGGTAATGTGTTACAATCTATAAGGAACAAGAATGCCTCACAAAAGACAATGAAGACGACGAAAGATAGAGCGCTCAGAGATCTCGTATTGTTGCTATCCTGTCTTGGCAGCAGCTGATTCTACCTATGTCTGTATATTTTGTAAATACATTTCTTCCTCTTGTACGCTCACTTCGTGACAATATTGTAGTATTTGACTGTGCATGTGTAACGAGAAGCTTTCTTCTATTTCTCTTAGGTGGAGCGCCCTACTGATGAAGTATCAAGTGAATATCGTCGTGTGATATGGTGTCCCTACGTGCCAGATGATGGTGCAAGAGGAGGAAACAGTTCACAAGAAGACAATTTTAAGTTCCTAGTAGCTACGAACCACGAAGAGGTTATTTCAGATAATCATTCTGTTTTTTTTTTTGCCTTGTATTTGACTTTCTTTAACTGAAAGTAACAGTAGGTATATAATTATATTATTGCTCTTGCTTAGCTGGAGAGTTCTGTTAAAGTTAAGGCATCAAATTTTGAAACTTGTTTGTCTCATTACACAGTCAACTGTATGTTAGGAGAACTTGATGCTGCACGAGTTGGTAATACAGTTGATCCCGGATACATAGAACTCAAAGGTGATCGCGAAATAGTTCGATGTGTTGATAATTCAAAATACAAAATATTTGTATTTAAGGCCTAAGTTAAAGCATTTCAGGCCTCGGAAATAGTTGGTGCTAACATAACGATTCGCTCACAGTATAATGAAGAACAAAGTGTGAACTGCAAGGTATCGCACTTTATTTCACATGAAAAGTCTGTAAACTTGTCTTGCTTCTTACGTGCCATCAATTTCCAGTCATCCTCAATACCATTGAAGCTTTTCAAGTAAACGAATTTAGCTCTTTTGGCTGCAACAACATTGATTGATGCAGAACGCTGATGTAAGTTTAAAAAGGTTGGTTAGCGGCGACAGTGAAGGTGTTGGCACATTCATAGCTGCACGGCTACACCGAGAACGGTGTAGCCGTGCACCTCAGCATCGATGCGGTCAAACAGCTACATCGTCATCTGTACCGATGAAGTCGCTCACTATCCGAGATGGTGCCCGAAAACGCTTATAAGTCGCGGAATTCACTGAGGCACATACGGCATTGTCAGCTGTCATGACGCAACCGAAGTCATCACCTGGCCGCAAGGAAAGTTTACGCAGGTGCTTTACTTGACGTCGCTCCTAGTGGCAGTCATAATTATGTCACTGCGTGCAGGTGTACGTTCACTTCAACTCCACGTTCAGTTTTGAATGAGGATTTATCAAGAATGAGGCGACATGTACACAAGACTGCAAGGCTCAAAAGACGCAATGCTGAGTTCCCATCGTCGACATGTTGGCGATATCGACGTCACTTGTGGCTTTTTAGCTGGCAGCCGCTGTTTTCAGCGGCTTTCATGTGAAAAAGCTAAGAAAAGCGTAGCCTCCAATACACGCGTGAGATTGCACATCTCGAAGGCTTGCATGTCATTGTGCGCTAACAAACAAGCAAGGGAATGAGAACATTGAAATGAGATAGTCACATCGCATTCTTATTTTAGAGTTCTCGGCAGTCTTTTTTTTTTTTTCAGAAATACTACGCGCTAAGACCTGCAAATCGCAGACCTGCAGGTCTTACCTGCACCGGTATGTTTCATCTGCAGACCTACAGATCAAACATACCGGTGCACTCGCAAATGCCTCGCAACGAACCAGATCAGTGCAAAGGAATACCGTATTTACTCGCATAATCCTCGCACTTTTATTGCCGGAAAACCGATGCAAAGTTGGGGGGTGCGTGAATTACGCGGGGAAAACTTTCCACGAAAACGTACAGAGCGAAAAAGAAAACGAAGTGGCCACAAATCGGTATTCTCACCCCAGCAACTAACAGCAAGCTTTAAGAAGTACTAATTAAAACTTACCTCAACAATAAAAGCAGAGGTTCAACACAAGAAAATATTTATTTGAGACACAAAAAGTGGAAGCAAATGATCGAGAATTAGAATACCATACGCAAAGCTTGTGGACGTTGCGGGCGTAACGATAACGTTGGTTGCTCAACAGGAGCCCTCAAAAAATAAGCGTAGGATGTCAGTATTGGGCTCATGGCTATTTAACAGAATCGTTCGCAGTTTCCTTCTGAAGATATAAAGTTTACCATCAATCCCAGTTTTAGGCACACGACAGGCCCAACGCGTCTTGGTGGCTTTCAGCTGCCGTCACCAGTAGCGAACACAAAACTCATAGACTCTGAAGGGCCTACCGGCGGCCCTGTTGCCTTTGTTTAGTGCATGATCTATAACTTGCAACTTGAAAGCAGCCGTGGAGCTTTAGTATTGCCTCGTAACGTGACAAGATTACCGACGCATCATACAAAACACGGTCCGGCAACAACGCGCACTGGCCTCTTCGGCTTGGCTTGGATTGGTTTGAATCTCTGTGTAAGAGCACGCTTGATGGTTAAGAGATGGCACCCGCTATCAACCTCGGTGGTTGAAACGAGCAGACGGCATTTTTGCGGCAGTTTTCGGGGGTGCGATAATTACTCGAGGAAAAAAGAAATCATATTTTTGTTAGGCGATGTGGGGGGTGCGAGTGCGAGGATTACGCGAGCAAATACGATAGCACATTTTTTTTGTGACCTGTACGTAAAGAATGATCGTAACTTGTTATAATGCGGCTGAATATTGATGAATATTTGCTAGGAAGAATGCACTTTCTGGGCTGTGGTGCGGTGCAGCGTTCAATATAGCGGATGTCCCGCCGTGCGGTAGTTCGATATATGGGTGCACCGCTCCCATACTATTGCATGGGAAATTCAAGGGGATTTCTCAACTGTTCGATATAGGCAATAATTCGATATATCAGAGTTTGATATATCCGAGATCGGCTATGTTAACAGAATTTGAGTGCATTAGGTTCTCCCAAGTTTTCTGTGTAACGGTGAGGGTGGTAACAATTACTACCTTTGCTGTTACTACCCTAGTCGTTACCACCCATGAGTAGTAACATTTAAAAAGTAGTAAAGTAGAAAAAAGTAGTATAGGCTACTACCTTGTTTCAGCCCCACCGTGGTGGTCTAGTGGCTCAGGTACTTGGCTGTTCACCCGCAGGTCGCGGGATCAAATCCCAGCTGTAGCGGCTGCATTTCTGATGGAGGCGCAAATGTTGTAGGCCCGGTTTCTCAGATTTGGGTGCACGTTAAAGAACCCCAGGTGGTCGAAATTTCTGGAGCCCTCCATTACGGCGTCTCTCGTAATCATATGGTGGTTTTGGGACATTAAACCCCACATATCAATCAATCAGGGTCTTAAAATGAAAAGTCCTGTGATAAGTGCAGGCACTTTCGAAAATTGGTCCATTTCAGGTAAATTTAATGCAAAAGAAATTGCAAAACAGCTCAATATATTGATGATTCAGACTACAAAATATTCATATACTTAAAGTTTATCTAAAGCAATGCAGGTCTCTGGACCATTTTCGAAAGTCGTAATAAGTGAGAACTTTAATTTATTCCTGCAGTATGCAAAAGAACAGTGTGCAATTTGTTATTTGTCATGTCTCTGCACTTTATTTTGCAAGAAGATAGTTTGTAAGAAATTTGTCTTCCTTTAGCATTATCAAGTTTGTAAAGCCATCCTCAGTATCATTGACACCTTCGCAAGTCCAGTACCTTCGTTAGCGTCACAACAGAGGCAAATGGCGCTGAACTCTGAAGCAAGTTGTAATTAGCAAGTTGTGAGCAAGTTGGAGGTTATTTAATGGCAGAACTGTTACTGCTCGGCTCTGTTTCCACTGCACCAAAGATGTCAGCCATGATCCAAGCATTGCCAGAATCCTAAAAGGCTATGTTGCCATCAGCATGAATGATGCTGCTTTCTGTAGCCTTATCCTGCCACTCTCCATTCCTGACAGCTCTTTCTCATTTCACTGTGACCAATCGTTCATGCCATGTCAGTGTGGCGGCCTACGGCGTGAAGCACTTCACTGCTGCTAGTGGTTGTTCTCCCGGAGTTGATTGAACTAGAGGAATAGGTTGACCCCCACAGAGTTCCAAACAGTTGGGTGTTAGCCGGTAAGAAGTGTTATACTGCACCCAAAAGTGAAACTTGAAGCTTAATATGGTTTAAGTAGACGTGCTGAATTAGTTATTTGTATTCCTATTCACCAACTTTGATATATGAGTGGGAATTAGAGTTTAAGAAGGATTCATATAGTGCCTATGTGTGTGTGTGTAAAAACTAGAATTTTCTATTTTGTGTGGATAAGTGTTGCAGTGAACTATTGTGAGGAATTTGTTTAGTGTTGCATCGGTCACTACATGTACCCCTTTATCAAGCCAAACGTAGCCGTACTTTTTACTTTTGCATGATTATTTGTAGCACCGTTTACCTTTTTATCAGTTGTAATAGTTGTTTTGTCTCTTTAACAGGCAGAAGTATGGAATATTGGCCAAGTAGAAAGTCGAGATGGATCGAGGACACTGACAGTGCCTCAAGTTCGTGTTGGTCTTCAGAGGATCATTGAACACACAAAGGCAGGTGCAGTGCAGATGCACCCTTCGATCTGAACAAATTGATTCACTCTGTTAGTACAGCTACCTTGAGCACTATTTTTTCTTTTTTTTTTCTTTTATTCAGAGCTGCAACAGCTGGGCCAATTGCACCAATTTGATACAATTACCATTTTTTGCGTTGAGCTGTGCCAAAGCCATGAAATTTGCCGAAATTGTGCCACTTTGCATCAAAATGCTTGACCAACCTCAAAATATATTCTGATTTGTGTTAATTTCAGCGGGAAATGGAGGCCACGTTGAGCACTTGTTAGCATCATTAATTGATCCGGAGACAGGTGCGCAGATCCTAATTCTGAACTACGTTTTAAGATATATACTTATTAGGCCAGGACACTCGCGAGACGCGATCGGCCACATTAAGGGGAGATGCTACTCGAAAAAGGTTTTTTTTTATTTCATAACCCAGCTCCTTGAAATTTTAGGTGTTAGTAAAGCTTGCAGTTCTGATTTCATAACTGCAATTATTTGTTTGATAGCTATAGTAGTTCCGGAGTTACTACAACTTTGATATCAAAATATAGTGTTTTTTGTGCACATAATAAAGCTTACTAAAAATTTTCACACAGAATTGCAAAATGGCTCATTCTGCTGCACTTGAGCAGTACAATACAGAAAAGTACCTCAAACAGAAAATTTATTTGCTACATTAAAAAAAAAAAAATTAAAAGTACTGAATGCATATTTTACATCTCTCTATCAGTGTATCAAGTTGTGTAACAAAAAATCTGTGATGTATAATGCAACCTAAAGTAGATACTTGTATTCTAGAGTGGCTGATTAAGCTCTGTGCAAAATTTCATCAAGATAGGACTATTTTATGCCTAAAAAAGATTGTGCACAAGATGAGAGAATTACCTCAAAATGGAAATCGAGAAAAATGCATTTGAAAGTTGTAAATATGTTTACTCATGATTACACAGTGCGATTTGCACAAAACTTGGTGATATCATAGAAGGGACACAGCTAGAGCACCTAAAATTGTCCTGCTCCATATGTGGATCCTTCTCGCCGCTTGAGAAGGGAGTCATCAAGGCGCGCTTTCTTTGCCACGTTCCGCCGATGGGCCCTTGCCTCGGCTGTTTCACACGCAGACATTCTTTCGATTCTCCTCTGGTCGCGGGATCGGCCCAGGGTGATCAGTTGATCTGGTGGGACTACACCAAGCTCCTCTAGCACGTGTTCAAAGCTTGAATGTCCTTTATTGAACCACAACACGGCCATAGCAGCTGCAGTTTCCACTGTTGTCCGGGAGGCAAACTTAGTCTTCGGACACAACAACCAGATTTTGCTGTTCAAAGATTCTGCAGCGTTTTGGGTCTTCCCTTGGATACAACGCACCAGCAACTTTTCATCTGTGAGCCGCTTGTAAATGGGAAGCACAGCCAATCCTTGAGCCTTGGTCAAGATTGGTGTGTGGTCGGGTGGGGCCTCCCCAAGCGCTTCAGCTCGCCTATGCTTGCACCAGGAAGTCGCCCCTTCTGGACAGTATCGGTGGCTGCCTGCTGTGTTGCTCGATGATGAATGGAAATATGAGGCCCAGATGGCACGATGCATTTTCAGAATATCACCTCTGTTGTTTGTGATTGCAATACGGTAATAGTTCTGCAGCTTCTGAATTGTGCCATCTGTCAGCTTTTCCCCTCGTGGAAGTCTTGTTGGCAGTTTCCGAAGTGCAGTGCCTAGACGCTTGGCCACATGGTTTGTGCACTCCTCCTTGTCCACAACAGCTTCACCATATACCTTGGCCTCAGCGACAGCGGTATAAGCTTTGCTGTCCCCATCACTGAGGAACTTGGTGAAGCGCAATGGTGTTGTGTATGAGGATGTCCTGCCCCATATGCGCAAAGCTGCCTCAGTCTCCATGGCATGAGAGGAGCACTCTGTATTTTTTTCGCAGACAGGTGTGTGGAATGCTTGCCATATTTCTTCCTCATCACCCAAGTCCTGGTGCCGGCTACAGGCAAGGCAGTAATTCGATAGCACTTCAAAATCTAGGCACAAACCAGTGTCCACAGACACAGCAGTGCCGATGCCATTGTGGCTCTTGTGCCCTCTTTTTTGCCATGTGCCATCATACATGACAGCAACATCAGCCCCATCCACTTTCTCTTTAGTTATCATCCGCGCTTTCGCCAGGTTTTCTTGCACAGCTTTGGTAGCTGCAGCATGAACTTTTTTGCCGATTGCAATAAAAGTCTTATGATGCATAGGTATTGGCAGTCCAAGAATAGCGCAAAAACGCGACAGCTGTTCATGCCCAATGCCTATTGCACGCGCAGCCACAACTACCTTCACATTGACAGCGAAGCTGTCGCGCGAGCTGCCGCTTCGGTAGCTCCAGTCATCACCGGCATCGGTGGGATGTCTTTCCGGCAGAACACGCCGCTAACTATGCGCGGCAGAAACCACTGACTCAGGACACTCACTGTTATCACAGTGCAGCTCGAGGAACGAAGAGAGGCCCTTACGTTTACTTGCGGTGTCGCGAACGACGAGTCCAGCGGTGTGGCATGTTGGACAAACAGCACGGCTTACCATCGATGTCAGTGCGCCGATGTCACAAAATACTCCGCTCACAGAGCCACAAACACTCTTCGTTCTTTCGCTTTCGAACTGTTCAATCTTTTTTTCTGATGCGCTGATGAACTTGATCGCGGCGTCGATTTCGTCAAAGTTCCCGCAAGCCGCCGTATCCCCGCTGCCTTGATTAGGCCTAGTGGCCCGCGGCTCGCATTCTTCTACCGCTGCTTTGCGCTTCGGTTTACGTCGACGCCCTTGGTACTTGTTCTTGCTTGCAAACTTTCGTGCTCGGAAGTCTCGCTTCTTCGAGTTATCCATGGTGAACTCGGAAAAACGTAGAAACGCACGGCAAGTGCCGATCGTCGCAAGCGCTCAGCGAGCGAGGCCGATCAGATGTAGCCAATGGCGGCCTCGGTAGCGTACCATGTGACCGGTAGAGATGCGCGAAGCGGCTGCAGCTTGGCTGCAAACCGACTTGGAAACGACTGTTTTGTGAAATTCCTCACTAAAATACGAAACTAGGGGGACGCCTGTACACTAGAAGGAGCCTTGATCTACACCACCGAACAAACCCCGATGGTGGACGTCATCGTGTTGCCGAGTGGCGGATTTTCAAAAATAGCCGTCGGATGCGTGAATTCGCGACTTCGGCAGCTACCTTCACTAGCGCAGATCGACTTTTTACCACTTTCTCGTTTGAATTCAGCTATGACCTTTGGGGAAATGATAGTTGAATGATCAAAAGTGATTTTAGAAGCAATATCTCAAAAGTGGAAATTTTCGCAAAAAACGCGATTTTTCGACCCGCATCTCCCCTTAAGTAACAACACTTTGCACCCATCGGTCTGCTCACCGCAGCGGATGTATCAGTGGCACGCAAAACTTTAAAACAAGAAAGCGTTGCCATAGACAGCAACACTGCATGGGAAATATGAATTTTCTAGTCGGCGAACGAAGCTATGGCATTTTAAAAACCATAAGAACTAAAGCAGGAAATGTAGGCCCCTGTTACTGCAATCAAACTCGATGTTCTGTGAACGCCGGCATTGCCGTAAACTCGACACATGCGACAGATATCCGGTGCCGTTACCTGGCCTATGGGCACGTGCCTCTGTTACATTATCTAGACAAACGCGCTTTGCAAGCGAGCCGAGAAGTTGTGCCCTCTGGCTTACCCCATCGTGAAAAAGAACAAGGAGGGGAGAGGGGTAGCGGTTCGGAAATTTCTTGACCTTGTACTAACCCCTGCAGAACGCCACGTAAACCATTTTGCTGCAATACACCGGTGGCTCACGAAAAAGCATTTTAAGTATTTGGAAGAGGCTGTTAGCACTAGTCACGGGCACAGGACAGCTTGTTCAATTACTCGTGCGTGTATATGCCACATAATTGTGAGTACTAATATGTTTGTTTACGTCTTAGAAAGTTACTGGTAAATATTTAAAGCATTGCATGACATTTCTGCATCCATAAAAAATTTTTTAAAAGTACATTCGCCAGTTTTTTTTTATTTTAATTGCCACCCCTACCCCTCCGCTTTACAAATCTGAAGTCTCCAGCTTGGCAAATCCACATTTGAAGCCTCAATCTATCAAAGGACTTGACAGGCATGGCAAATGCTAATGCGGGCTTCATCATGTTTAGCTGAGTGGGGTGGTTGAAAATGCTACTTTTATTGAAATAGTAGTGCATATATTCACACGGCACGATTTAGGGGATGTTGAATGGTTTGTTTATATGTCTTTCTAAATGTAATCCCCCCCCCCCTTTTTTTTTCATACTGCTCCAGATTTAGTTTCTCGTAATACAACACAAATGTTTTTTTCCCCTGTAACCTGCTCCAAATTCGAATTTTAGGTCTCCAGAAGTAACATTTTGCTGCCTTGAAAATTGCTCCAAATTCTATTTTCGTGGTTGCACCCCTGTTTATTTATTGATTTATTTTTTGCATAAACATATAGCCACTGGCTTAGGGCAAATAAATGAGAGCCCAATAAAATAAAATCAGCATTTTTTAAATACATTTATTTGGACTCCACAATCATCTGAAACCGTGAATGCACTGTAGACAGGGTTGTGTGGTTTTGTAGCACTGCTGACATTACTGCCTTCACCAACCCAAGTCTAGGAACACATTGCGTGCCAGCATTGATGCATAGAACTATGCAGGCCAGCAGGCATGCGTTGTGTAGCACTTTGAGATATTTTGTCATGCCGCGGTCTATATGCATGCTTATACTGTAAGGCGGCATTAATTCTCATTGAATGGACATCAGGTTATCAGTGAGGCCATGGGCACCACAGTTGTCTACGAAGTTCTATACCTTGCTGTTTCAGACTTAGAATTAGCAAAGTTTAGTTTAGAGAGGCCATGGGCACCACAGTTGTCTACGAAGTTCTATACCTTGCTGTTTTCAGACTTAGAATTAGCAAAGTTTAGTTTAGAATTTAGTTTAGAATTGGCAAATTTAGCAAAGTTTGCGGAATTGTTGGTGAAAAAGTGTGGTTATCCAAGCCTTCGTGTTAGCTTCACAATGCATGCAGGCTTGTTCATGATTAACAAAGCTTTCATTTGATAGTAAGCAGTGGTGTTGTTCCCTCCCTCATTTGTCTTCATCTCAGTTTGTGCTTGAAGTTTCTGAGACGTATATGTACCAACTAGCTCCCCCTTGTCTACATTGAGCATTGTCAATTGAGTGTGCTGAAGGAAGGTCTCAAAAATCTAATGAAAGGTTGGAAGGTGGTTATAAAGTGTCAATAACCGCTTCGTGACAATTATTAAGCCTTTTCATGTCTCTAAGCGACAGCCGCTGCATGCTTACGAGTCAATTAAACAGCCTTTACGATGAACTGACACCGTTTCATTTAATTGCGGTACTGCCACGTGGAGTTGACCATCCCTGGCTAGTTGCATGCAGTGCAACATCTACTCGGCTCATGCCATCACTACGGGGCAGTTTACTGACATTGCAGCATACTTCTTGCGTGAGTTCGCGCATTCTTTGTGTATGTTTCGCTCCGGACCGTGTATGACGGAGGTGATTGGCCTCTTCATTCAATGCGGCGAAGACCAACATTTTGCAAGTAATGAACGATTCTTTGCGGGGCTTGACGGTCAGGCCAAGCACGATGATGCGCGGTGAGCTTGGGATGTTGCCTAATAAAACAAACAGTCTATGTTTGCTGTCAGAGTGTCAATGCTTGTTGGTGACCATGGTGCTATATACTAGCGAGCTACTTTTGCTTCTATGCAAAGAGACACACACGATGTGGCAGCAGTGATCTAGTAAACGGCAGCATAGTGCGCTGATGTCGTCGATCTACACAGCTGCATGTGAAGCTGAGCAGATGACTGCACATGTTTTTGATTTGGTTGTCAGCGATAAGCCACAATGACATGTTCATCAGGCGCCTTACGCTTATCCATGAATGCATCGCAGCATTCATAATTTGATCGACTGGTCTCTACTGTTGCTGAAAAGTCTGAATGCCTTTTTCAGTACATTGTGGTTCATATGAGTTGAGGGACATGAATTTTTATGTGAGGAAAAGTTATAGCGGCTATCGCTCCTTGCATTCATGTCCTCTTGCGTTCTAAGGCATTGTTTAGTTCATTGTAAGCAGTCGTAGCTGCAGAGAATGGCGTTAGAAGTGGTTGCTGCTTGAAAGCTGACTGCACAACTATGCTGCTGTGTACCTTTTTTTTCTCTCTTTTTTTCTTTGACATTCTACTGTTGACGAAACGCTCAAAAAATGAATGACCTCGCTCATAGCATTTTTAATCTGTGTGCGATCTCGTATGTCTCCGCGTCGCAGGGCAACTGGAGCAGGGCACTCGCGATGACGGTTCTCTCAGCTTTACAAAGTCAGTTCGAAATTTTTTTCAATTCGATGCACCATACTTTTACCGCGACAGTGTCTTAAGCGTTCATTGTAAAAGTCAGAGGCTTCAAAAAACGTTCTTTGTGTTTTCACACAATTTCAATGAGCAGCATAGGGAAATCGTAAGTCCACTGAAATATAGTCGTTATACCCTATAGATCATTATATCTGTAATCGTTATAAGTGTGTTCGGTTGTATATTACAGCCTACAAGGAGAGCTGCACAGCCTTGAACCACCTCAAATTACATTTTACTATGTCAATTTTTGGAGCATAAAAAATCCACTAGCAACTATACATGTGTATGTTTTAGCATTATTTGGCTTTTCACCCTATAATGTGCCTGTATCTTGAGATGTTGCATTATGACAGTTGACTTCTTTAGTTGCAAAAGTGAAGTATTGTGAAATTTACAAAATGAACTTCAGGAGGCTATGGCAAGAACGTCTTAATGTTTTGCTAGTGTTGCTGGGCGCTTCCCCTAACTACGATAACTTTTCAGCAGCATTGAAATCCTACCTTTTCAGTGGTGTTTGAACTCGTGAAATGGGAAAACATTACTACACACATCGATGGATACACTCTAAAAAAATATCGAGTAAAAAGGGTGTCTTTTTGTCCCACAACAATAATCGTCATTAGGCTTGCGTGCGCTTTCTTTCTTGAAAACTCTGCGCTGGCCACTTTCCTATCGAGAATGAAATGTTGCCCTAATAATGGGCATGTCGATCGTGACCGGAATGTACCGGGCACAGGGCAATAGCGCAAGGATGGAACGCAATATAAATGACGACTATTGTTGTAGGACAAGAAGACACCCTTTTTACTCGCTCTTTTTTTAGAGTGTAGTGCATTTGATTGATAACATGCAAAAATTGACTACAGCTTCTGTTTTGGGTAAAACAGTACACGAGTAAATTCTAGTGCTACGAAAAGTTACATTTTATTAAAAATTATGTGCAACGGGATGATTGGAATTCTAATGATAGTGTGGCTGTTTAACCAAAAAATCTTCCTGGGGCTTGTGGTAAATAATGGTTCTGCAGAAGGGGATGTTTGTTTAAGGTTTCTGCTATATCATAATTACTGCAAAGTCCACATGCTGTTACTACTTTAACTGTTACTGCAGTCACTGTTGAGGAAGGGGTGTCTAAGTTGTCCAGTCGTGTTTGAGTATCCATTGGCTAATTATGACAACAAATTTGATCCTTTGAAATATTGTGCCTAAGTAATGATGTACAGTGGACTTTGTACTAAGTTTCACCATGGACCTGCGTATTTAGATTTCTTGGATGAGTTATTCATTCACAAGTATGTGATTTATTAATTTTTTGTGTTTTTTCCCACTATAGCCCATTATTGATGCGGCATTTGCACCCGATGGCACGGCACTTGCCACTGCTGGTGCTGATGGACAGGTGCGCTTCTTTCAAGTTTATATGCAAGACCCTGATGCAACACCCAGGTATGGTAATCTCCTTTCACTTGTTCTTCCGTTGGGAAGGTGGTTTGTATGCGAGCTGAGCGAGTGACCTACAGCTACTCTGAGACTGTCATTGCAGTTTTTGTATTTGTACCATGATATGTGATATACAAGATGTAGTCAAATACTTCAGCAACGAAAAAAGTTCTTGAAGAATTTTGTGGCAGCAAAGTTTTATACTATAGAAACTACAAAAGTTACAGAAGTGATGATGGCTCATGTCTTGGTGCCGGCTAGTGCATGTGTGATCTTTTTTTTATTGAACTCGCGCCAACTCAGACGAACTTGACTGCACACCTAGTGAATGTATTTTCTGACATATTACACCCACAAAATACCATAGTTATTTGCATAATTTGCGCACCCTTATTATTTAGCTGGCTTTGCTATAAAAATGTATATTCGTATGTATTATGAAGTCTTGGTTTGGAAGACCTTTATTAGGCCCGAGGAACCGGCAGCCGACAGCTGAGATGAACGAACCAAGATGATGATGCTACGTGACAACGATGAGGATGCATGAGCAACACATGATAATGATGATAATGTACAGATGAAGAGGATTTCTATGCTAAATGCCCACACTAATTCCCCCTACGGGAAAGCGGCCAGTCTGGCCGCGGCAAGTCAAGGGGACAAAGAACGTCGCATGAAGGGCTTCATATGGGAGACATGGACGACCTCAGTAGTTCGATAACGGCGATCTGCTGGGGCTACAAGTGGCGTCACGCGATAATTCACTGGTGAAGTTTCTTCAAGAACTGTGTACGGCCCGATAAACCGTGGCTGGAATTTGTCGCCCAAACCAGGTGTGCGAATAGGCGTCAAAAGAAGCACTTCGTCTCCAGGTTGAAAGGATACAGCACGATGTGATTCATCATAAACCAGCTTTCTCTCTTGCTGTCGGGCTGCAGTGTTTATATGAGCACGTTGGCGGCTCTCTGCGAGCCGCAAAACGTATTCCTCTGAAGAGGATGGAGATGAATCCGCATGGCAGGTAAAAAAAGAGACGTCCAGGAAAGAAGTAGGGGAGCGTCCATAAACTAAGTAAAATGGTGAGTAGCCGGTTGGCCGCTGAATAGCCGTATTGTAGGCGAAAGTGACGAACGGTAGAACTACATCCCAGTTCTTGTGGTCTGGTTGAATGTAGGCGGCGATCATGTCAGCAAGAGTGCGGTGGAATCGCTCAGTGAGGCCGTTAGTTTGGGGATGATAACTATAGGCAGTCTTGTGAGTTGTGCCAGAGGCGCAAAGAAGTTCGTTCACTAGTTGTGAAAGGAAGGCCCTTCCACGGTCGCTGAGCAATACACGTGGAGCACCATGACGCAGTATAATGGCTCGGAGGATGAAATCGGCAATTTCAGAAGCTGAACCGGTAGTGACGGATGCCGCCTCGGCATATCCTATCATTATCCTATCAAAGTTTTCAATTGTATTGATGCTCTATAATTCTGGAATGTAATGAGCTAACATTATTCACAAAATTTTACATGTTCAACTTAGCCATAAAAAAATAGCGTTGCTCCAAAGTTTGGTTTCTTATAAGTTCAAGTGTATCAAATTTATTGAAATTGGCTCAGCAAAACATAACAAAAAGTTCCGTAAGGCTAGTCAGGCTGGCAAAAAATGTGAACCAGAGAAAATAGCATTTGAAGTTTTGACACTCACTGCAGAAATTTCTAAAACGAATTTTCAACAGTAAATTTTATTTACATGTTTCGTATCTGTTTTTCTGCTGAAAAAAAAAAACAGAAAGTGTCTTATTTCATCCAAGGAATTTTTTTTTTAAATTTCAATGTGGAAAGCATGACCTGAGCCCCACCATGGCAAATGGTTGGGGGGGGCGGGGGGGGGGGGTTCCTAAAGCACTTGAGTTATGGGACTAAGACCACTGTTTCCTCTTAAATGAGAAGTCGACTATCATTAATTAACCACCTGAATATTAATCATCAATTAACCACTTGGATGTTAGGCAGCATACTGCCCGCCCTGTGCAATAGGTTGCTATGAGCTGAGCGTCTCTTACTCTCAGCCACGTGCAGATGTAGCTTCCGTCGTGTACACATATCCCGCAGGAGTACGCCGACTAGCGCGAGTTCGGTCTTAGCAAACCACAGGGCTGCGTTCACCGTCGCCTTGTGTGACTAACCTCGCTGCACATGCGCGTTCGGACAGCCAAAGTGTCAAGTGCAGCGCGACAAGTACACAGTACTTTATTGCCTGTGGCAACAGCCAAAAAACGCAGTACAGCGCCAGCTTCAAAAGGCGGCGGGTGCAAAAGAGGCTTATCGTCGTTACGGCTGAAAGTAAAACACAAAAGGTACCGCGAGCACGTCTCCATAGGCAAGTGTTCATGGTGACATGCCATTGAGGAAAACTGGCCCTCACGACTGTGCTGTGCTCTCTCACAATCAGTCTCCACAGGGCCCGATCGCTCGAGCGAGGGAAAACTCCGCTCGCATTGGCTTCGAGAGGCACGGCTTGGCGTGCCTCTCGTGGGTGCAATGCACCGTTGGCGAGTCTGAATGAGCTCCAGGAACAAAGGGAGTTGACGGACGGAAAGAAACGTGTTGACCCTTCGCTGCCCGGAAAGGATGGCGTGCACGCAAAATTTAAACAATTTTTGTTCTTTTGAGGGAATTTCACGGCTTTTTGGGTGCTTCGAAGGCCCATTTTATCTGATTTCCCGACTGAATTTTTCCAACTGAATAGAGTAAAGTTAAACCTGCTTATAACGAACCTACATATAAAGAATTCCTCGTTATAACGGAAGTTTTTTTAATCCCCGCCGTTGCTCCATAGAAGAACATGTATTTGCGACCTCTATGTAACAAAGTAGTAGCCGAAGACAACCTTGATATAATGAACTTTCTCCACGAACAATCTAGAAATTTCGCTCCACATTTTAGCATCTTGGTACGAGCATGTATTTTCCGCGACTGCCCTCCGCCGACCTGACGAAGTGCGAAGCGGTGGGGGCGCACTAGGCGGACGCACAGGACGCACTAGGCGGGAGCGATCGCGAGGCGAGCAGGCAAGCCTACACCCTAGAATCTGGGGTGCCCCCCCCCCCCCCCCCCACTAAAAAAACTACTTTTGCACGTTGCCAGTGCCGCGCTTTTAGATAGTGTCACATATGTGGGGCCCCGTTGCATATGAAGGGCGCTTTACCGAATAGCTTTCCGCGGTGTCTGTGTCCGTGTTGTTCCCTCTTCGTTTTTGACGCCGTGCGCGCGCACGTAGTTTCACTGCGCGCGCATGGTGTGGCCCTCGGCGATGTTCAGCTTTGTTTTTTTTTTTATTGCTATAGCAATTATATGGATAGTCTTGGCTGGGTTTTTTGCCATCGCCGTCATTCACCGTATATGTATACGTGTCTATATGAAAACTCAAGAAAGAAAAAAAAAAGGCGGCCACGCTCGGCGCTCAGCTTGTCACGATGCCCCGACGCGCACTTATCTCCCACGCGTACTTTGCCCCGTGAATTGGGGGGTGAGAGTAAATGATTTGTGTGTCCGTGCGCTTATCCTTCGGTAGGGAGAATCGCGCGCCTTCGACTTTGACCGGAATGATTTTGTTTAGTTGCCGGGAGGGCAAAGATCACTTGGCTCACTTTACAGGCGCTCTTTGCGAAGAGTGCGCTTTTCAAACATTACAAAGTAGCAGCTGGGGCACTTGTTCGCACTCATATATGTACTTGTTATTACATTTCCTGCCTCGTTTTTGTTTAAACAGTGCATTAAGTGTCAAGTGGTAAACGTTCTTAGTTCTCTCTCGTCCTGTGTATGTTGTTTTCGTGCGTCATTTGTGCGTGAGCAGTGCGCTGCACGTTTCGACCTGCTTGCCGTTCTGAGCGTTACATTCCAAGTTGTTGCTGTCGCATTCATTGCTTGGCGCATTCATTGCTTGGCGCATTCATTGGCAGCTTTTGCATTCATTGCATTCATTGGTAGCTTTCGCTTAGCCGATCAGTTCTGGCAACACGACGGGGCGTTGAATGAAATTCAATGAACACGATAGCAAAAAAATTAATGTTCTAAGAAGGAAAATTGGCTGCCAACTTTTTTGGATTCGATATTGCGGAACACGTACAAAACGCTTGTGTGAGCATATACGGCCGCTCCAGTGAGAAGTGCTCTTTTCACACAGTCTCTGCTCATTGAAAGTGCGCTGATTTACTCACCGAGATAGCAAGCGTGCCAGCGATCGTGACCGCCCTTCTTAAAATCCAAGTTCATTATTGCTACTCGAGTGACCCCCCCCCCCCCTGGTCATTCATGGTCATTCAAGATGGGTGGTTTACTTTCTGTTTCAACATCCGGCAGCAGTTCTAACATGTGGGAGATGGTGTCTTATGCACTTTCCAGGCGATAGGGATGGGCCAACTCATTTTATCCTTGCTTTAAAAGCGCTTGCACGCTTTTACTTTTACCCACTCGTGAAAGTTGCAATGTGCGGGCATGTTATCAATTTGGACATGTTACGTAACATGGCGGTGACGGCAAAAACCTGCTGATAGTGTCCTTATAATTGGTATCGCAATAATATCGCTGTTTTTTTTCTGTAAAAATAAGTGTTTTGGGTTGGTGTGCCTTCTGTCCCCCTTTTGCTTAATTTGTGCGTTTATTTTCCGAATTTTATGTACCGCACCTTTATATAACAAAATCATCTTTATAACGAATTTTTCCGGGAATTTGTCAATTTCGTTATATCCAGGTTTAACTATATAGTAATAATGGGGAGGAATGGAACAAGAAAAAGCATTTATTTGGCTCAGCGGGATAAAAACTATGCTTTCGAGTAGAGTATTTAGACTAATCTGAAGATTTTGTGAATTCATAATAAATATGCTCATAAATAAATTGCTACCACATTTTAACAATAAAACGGTAGCACAACCCATTTAGACGATTAGAAAAAGTAAAAACGAAGAGATGAGTAGTTTTTCTTCATAGCATGGAAAATTTATTCTTTTGATCGTTCACTTTCTGAGAGGCTGTTTTACCGGCTTTGCGATCACATTTGGATACACCTCCGTTGCATACCTCTACCCTGACAAAGCCAATGTACGCCATGTTGATTATGAATGTCGGCAAGCTTCTCTTTGAAGTTCGGATGTTTTATTACAGTCAAATCTCGATATAACGAATCAAGTGGGACCGCCGCAACTCGTACGTTATTTTGAAATATCGTTGTAATGAAAAACTTCGATTGTAAGCAAGAGGTCAAACCTAGGAGCGAACATGACGTACCTTGGCAGTTGCCGTGTGCGCCGACAAGCAAACACACACAAAAAAAATTACACACACTTCAAAAGTTCTTTTATTTGAAGAAATCTGTGATTTTCTTCTGACGCGTGGAGCACAAACGGCTGATTAAGTACGCCTCAACACCTTCCACCTTACGTAGCACCTCATCGGGCACATCACTGCACCGACCAATGTAGGTGCGGACTTTGTTCATGTGCACTAAAACATCCGAGTGCGATATGGTCTCATCCTCTTCAGTGTTCAGTGATACAGAGTCCTCTTCCTTCGGGTCGTCGTCGTCATTGTCGTCACTGGAGACGTCGCGAACGCTGTTGACAATCTCCTCGGTTGTCATGTCCGCCGACATTAGTGCTGCGCTGTCGCTCTTCACTAGTCGTCGAAGGAAGAGACGTCGGGCAACAGTCGAAGGAAGAGACGTCGGGCAACAGTCGAAGGAAGAGACGTCGGGCAACAGTTCCTCAACCTCAGTCCACAGGTCTCCTGGGTTGCTGTGATCCTCTTCCAGGTTGTCTTCAACTTGGGCAGGCGCCTTGATTAGGCCTGCTTTTCGCCAACAGTTACGGATTGTTGACGTCTTCACGTTTCACCAAGCTCCCGTCAGCATTTCCGCCGCTTGACGAACGTTGACTGATGTCGGCTGCTTTAAGCGGAGATTTATAATAAAACGCTGCACAAGGCGCTTGCGAAATTCCGCCTTAACACTCTTTATGATGCCTTGATCTAGTGGTTGCAGCAACGACGTGTTGTTCAGTGGCAGAAACTCCAGGCGAACGTGCGTCAAGCGAACATTCACAATGTGGGCTCAACAGTTGTCGACGATCAAAAGAATTTTTCTATTTTCTTTCCTCATTTGTTCGTCGAGTTTGATGAGCCACTGCGAAAACAATTCTCTTGTCATCCAGGCACGCTTGTTCGCACAATAGTCGAACGGTAGGGATACGACGTTCTTCATGCAGCGAGGCTTTGCATATTTTCCAATGACAAGCGGCTTGATTTTCTTCGTGCCCGACGCATTGCAGCAGAGCAAGACCGTCACGCAGAGATGCGACTTCTTGCCTCCTTTACACTGCTGACCTTTGAAGTGCATCGTCTGATCTGGCAAGAGCTGGTAGAAGCACGCGGTCGCGTCCGCGTTGAAAATGTCGTCTTCGGAGTACGACTCTGCCACCTCTCGGAAACGATCGTTCCGCCAGGAATCTGCACCCTCTTTGTCCGCAGCCTTTTCTTCACCTGAGACTACCTGCCAGGTTATGCCGTTTCTGTGGCGAAAACGAAAAAGCCAATCCGCACTTGCATCAAACCCAGTTACTTCAAGTGCGTCGGCGAACTCGCAGGCTTTTTCTTGAAGCATTGGGCCAGACACTGGGATGTTTTGCAGCCGGGCATCTTTAAACCAGGTCAGCACAGCTTGGTCGACATCTTGAAAATTTCCCAGGCGCAACCGTTTCCTCGTAGGTGCAAATTGTGACTCTCGGTGAAGCTTCAGAATCTTTTCTCTGTCTTTCCAAATGGTCGCGACAGTCGACGGGGCAATGCCACGCTCCCTGCAGAGGTCGATTTGCTTTTTGCCAGAGTCAAGTTCCCTCAACAAATCCACCTTTTCTTGCAGGGAAAACTGCTTTCGCTTCTTCTTAGCGCTGTCACATGGTGCATTCATCGTCGGGTCTCCAAACACTTTGCAGAAAGCTAAGAAAAAAAGAACGACAACAAAACGCAGCAGACTTCACACGTGCGTGGCACGAAGGACGAGGCAACGAGGCTAGGCCTGCTAAGCTGCCACACATCAAACCATACCTGTGTGGTGGCGCTAGCAGTCGGCTCTCAACACGGTGATGATGATAGCTTCCGTGCATGGAAAAAAACAGCGGCTACTGCGCTACGTGAGAGTTGCGGTGCTGCTACTTTTAACTAAATTCGTAATACTGATGTTCCTTGCGTATAGGCGAGCAAATAAATTATGCACGTTATTCTGAAATATACATTGTACTGAAATTCGTTGTTCTGAAATATTTTTACATTGAATATATATAGGCAATCTGGCGGGGATTTTCAAAATATTCGTAAATCTGAAAAAATTGTTAATTCGGTGTTCGTAGTAAAGAGATTTGACTGTATTATCAGCCCACAGTAACTTTTCCTGAATGACATATAGCATAAGAACTCCGTGTACACTACTCACGATCACAAGTCTACTCACGATCACAGGGAGAACAAAACTTCGTACACAGTGTCTTCGGGATGAAAGCACAGCACATGGAAGTGTGACTGAGCTGCAAGCTGATGGCTGTGATGAGTGATGAGCTAGCTTGCGCTCCAGCGATCGTGACCACACCCTTAGAAGCAAAGTTCACACTCGCTGCTCGAGCGACAACCCCCCTCATCCTCGGGTCTTTGACTGCTCGTTCAAGATGAGCCTCGTGTTTCCTCTCTGATCCGACTCGTCCCGAGTGGGATAATGTTAATGCATGAGCCCTCCGAGCGACAAAGACGGCCTGGCTCGTGTGATGTCTGCTTCAGCTGCATTATGGCCTCCTCTCGAGCACTTTTTCCGTGAACAAAATGTACGATACGTGTGGGGTGTTGTATCAATTTGTAATTTACACGGGACATGGTGGCAAAGGCAAAAGTCATTCGAGTGTGTCAAAAATAGGATCATTGAACAAATTAGCGTAGTGTTTGAAAAATGCAGCATTGGACAAATGTTGCTTCACAAGTGCCAGCGTGGTACATCTGCTCTGTGTGTTCTCATTGACGGCTCCAAACTTGGTCAAAGAGATTCTTCTGGCTGTTTAAAGCCTACTCCAAGATGTCTTTCTCAGTGCTTCAAGCCTGCTATAAAACACACTTTTGCCTGCTCCTAGGACTGCTCTCTAACCCATGCACCCTGTTCCACCACTAAAGGAAATGTTGCATTATGTAATTGTTGCATTATGTAATCTTGCTATGCAATGTCAGTCATGTGGGTCTTCCTTGATTACCACAAGCACTGAAATAGTTCAGAGGCTTATCATATTTTTAAAGAAGAACATTGTCAGCCAAGCTTCAGTTGATTTGTTGGATAAGGAATGTGCTTTTGTGCGACAGTTTCAGTATTTTGTCTTACATTGACAAGACAGCAGTGGCAATGTATGCCGCATAACACTTATGTTTATGTGTGAGGCTCAATAATTGGTTCAGTGTCACGTGAACGCTTGCGTGTATAGTCCTTTGCCTTTCTGTCTTGTCGTGATGCGCTTTTGCACTAAAGTATGAATCAAAACCAACTCACCCAAGTTGCTGTCTTATTGCAGCAGTAGGGTTCTCAGTGCATTGGAAAAAACTACATAACTGCAAGGCTGTAGAGAACCCAAATGTAACGAAATACCAGTGTTAATTAAGTAAATAAAGAATGGTATTACAATAGATACAGTGTTAGGAATATACCTTTTCATGAATTTTCAGATAGAACGAGCTTATTTTCGTGTAAGATGCTATTTCGTTGAAATGAGATTTCAGTGTAGTGGTGTTCTGCTATAACTTTGTTATTGTGCTCTTCTCTTTGGCTGCTGTGCTTCAGTAGGCTTGTTAAAAAATGCAGAACTATTTTACAAACTTCTGAGGGTATTTTTTGGGTGTGTTCATGGGATCCTTGACTTAAGTGCTGCAAGCATGACTTCATTACATTGACGTTTGACCTTCTGATTCATGTTTCATCTTCAGGTGCCTTCATCGATGGTCCCCACACGGCGAAAAGCCCGTGACTTGCCTGTTCTTTTTGGACAATTTAAAGGCATGCGATCCAGAGTAAGTCTTCCTGAGCAGTTTATACAAACGAATGTTTCTTCTAGTGGAATGAACATTATGCAAGTTTTGTTAGTGGTGGTTTAATAGAGGAATGCAGATGTTTTTTTTATATACAGTAAAAGCTTGTTAATTCGGATTTCACGGGACCAGAAAAACTGTCCGAATTAACCGAATGCCAAATTAACGAATGAACAGGGAAAACAACATTTAAAATCAAGCTGCAGAAGCATACCTTTATTTGTAAAAGTATTTTGTAATTGTTGTGGTGTACACGTATCCCCAAGGAGTACGGCCACCAGCGTGGGTCCGGTCTTAGCGAGCCGCAGGGCACGCAGGGCACCGTCGCTGTGGCGAGAACACGATACTGCTCAAAGTCGCAACACTTTATTGTGGCAACACCAAACGCAGTACAGCCCGTTGCAAAAAGGCGCGGCGCGAAAGCAAGTAGGCTTGTCCACGCCACGGGCACAAAGTACTACACAGGGTGCCACGAGCACGTCTCCACGGTAAAGGTGATCCACGGAGACACCGGGACCAAGGCCCGGTTGCTCGAGCGAGGGCAAAGGCGCTCGCGTTGGCTTCGAAGGGAGACGGGTCGGCGTAGCTAGGCCACGCACTAGGACACCGTACCACTCCTCGGCCGTGCGTACGCAGCGGGGCAACAAAAGGTGAGCGTTCGCTTCGGGCGCGAGGCGCCGTCAGCGAAGTCCGACGAGCCCCCGAGCGACGGGAGTCGACGGACGGAAAAGATTGCGTGGCTCACCGTTTGCTGTCCCGGAGAGTATCTGACCGCTCCCGACGCAGCGCCCGAAAACCTCTCGGGAGTCCCCGCGCGCGGCGCCACAGTCAACATTCGCTACCGGGTGAGGGGGTTAAATGTCACTCTGCCCTTCCCAGCGCGGCAGACAGCAAAGGAGGGCAGACATGTCGGGACATGAGAACGGCAGAAAAGGCGGCAAAGCCCGCGCAAAGGCAGCGGGCTAGCCTCAATTCCCACACTTTCATCTGCGTTTTCGCGCAGATTCCGGCTGACATCACAATTTTTCTTAACTGTTCCAAATAGCCAACAGCACACAAGCTGTCGGGAGTGTTTAGGCAAGCGTCCTCTAAAATTAACAGCGCCTCCGAGACTTCCCGTGAGGTGCGATGAGGTCGTGGCTGTATCTCCTCGCACGATTCTTCGTCGGAATCGTGGTCTTCATGGGCGCCCGTGACATCATTAATAATCTCTTGATCGGTCAGGAGACCACTTGTGGCGACACCATGATCAATCGTGATGTAGTCCTGAAAGGTCACATCTGTGGGAAGGACAGCATCGAAAGTCGGGCAGTCATCGTCGGTGGACTCTGCTGACACCTCCTCGATGCTATCCTCAGCTACTGCTGCATGATCGGGCCTCACGAAACCGCTGTGCCGAAAACAGTTGGCGATGACTTGCGGCGGAGTGTTTTTCCACACGTGGGCGATGATGTGCACTGCGCCGAGTAAGTCCACTTGATACAACTTTCCAGCTTCTGAGCATAGGATCATTCGCTCTAGCAGGTGCTTGCGGTACTTCGACTTCACGTAGTGAATGATACCTTGGTCCATCGGCTGAAGAGCAGACGTAGTGTTGGGCGACAAAAAAACTACTTTGATGCTCTTCAGTTCGACTGTACAGTTATGGGCACTGCAATTGTCAGAAACCATAATTATCTTGCGGTCCTTCGACCTGAACTGCCGGTCCAACTGCTGCAGCCAGCCGCGAAAAATGTCCGATGTCATCCATGCCTTCCTGTTCACTGTGTACTCGACAGGAAGGCTTTTGACGTTCTTAAAACAACGTGGCTTAGCGCCTCCCGACGACAAGTACAGTCGAACCTCGATATATCGAACGGCGCGGCGATAGCGAAATAGTTCGATATATCCAGAATTCGATATAAAAAAATCACGAGAAAAAAATGCGTCAACAGCTTGCTGAAAACGACCAACGAACCGTTCAAGCGTGGTGCAGTAAATACTCACTTGAAGACTCAAACATAGTATTTATTGTGTTGGTTTAAAATATTGAAAAAGAGTAGCCTGCTTTTGGGGGGCCATGGTGTGTTTGATGACTGCGTCCTCAATATAGTCCAGGCAATCCATAAGTGATAGGCCGGTGTCTTCAATCGCGCCGCAGTGGCGGCGAACAAGGGGCAAGGCAGCTACGACCTCAGCTGGTGTCGGGAGCGGGGCACCGTCGGGAGCGAGGCACCATCAGCGCTTGCGGGATCCACCTCGGCAGAGTCTTCATTCGGCTGCTCAGCAGTAGCTTCGGCGACAGTCTCCACATCCGTAAGCTCCACCGTTCAGAGTTAGGCCTGCGCGCACAGCGCGTGACAGGCCCAACTCCGAACAGTGCGCAACAGGCCTAACTATGAACGCACGAACACTGCGAGCACAACGACCGATGCCTGCTGATGCTACGGGGGAGGAGCTTGCAACAAGTGCGCAGTGTGCCGTCGACACCATAGAGACTGCAACGACTGTAAGCTGCAAGGCTGCGGCGTGAGTCCGGGTGTAAGCGCGCACATATTGCGCCCATGCCGGCTCGCCTGACTGCTTTCCCTTTCCCGGCGGCAGCGCGGGCGGCGTTCGAGACAGTCGTCTGAATCCTCTCCCTTTTATACTTTCCTCCTTAATCTTTACCTCCCACTCCCCTTCCCCCGCGCGAAGCCGTGTCGGGGCCTTCGTATTGAAAGAAAATAACAGCTCCGCTCTTTTCTCTTCACTTTCCTCATTCAAGAACCTCTACCGCAAGGCTGCAGCGTGCGTACGCCGCTACGTTAAAGTGGCGCTCTCGGCGCCATCGATGTGTGCAGCATTCGTAAACGCCCGCCGCTCTACCGCTACTTTCGAGAGTTGCGGGAAAGCTCGCCGCCTGTCAATGGAGCGTGGGCGGTTTGGGGTGGCTGAGTTCGATATATCCATTATATGTCAAACCTTGTTCGAAATAAAAAATCAATAATGCATGCGATTTCCCGCGTGATATAGGAACCGTTCGATATAGGCAATAATTCGATATATCCGTGTTCAATATATTGAGGTTTGACTGTAGTGGCAAGCGCTCCGTGCCAGTCATATTGGCGGCAAGAAGCACAGTTATCCTTTGCTTGCACTTCTTGCCACCAATGCACGCGCCCCCTTTGAAAGTCACCGTCTTGTCGGGCAGAGCTCTGAAAAATAGAGCAGTTTCATCTGCATTGAACACATCACGTGGTTCATATGCGGCGATGTGCTCCAGCAGCTTCACATTTCTCCACTCGGCGGTCACGCTTTCGTCAACACTGGCCTTTTCGCTGCACACACTCCTGAAGATAAGTTCGTGTCTCTCTCGAAACCTCGCAAACCACCCTTCTGACGCTTTGAAAGATTCAATGTTCATCATTGCAGCGTACTTCTCACCTTTCGCTATGATGAGAGGTTCGCTCAAAGGCAGATGCGCGTTGCGACAGTCAGTAATCCACCGGAGCAAAGCTTCTTCGAGCTGGGGATGAGTTGCGGTTTGCAACCGCTTTCTAGAGGCATGACACTTCTCGCTTTCGAAGACTTGTCGAATCTGTTGTTAATTTTTTCGTACGTTCCCAACGTGCTCCGCTTCACGTTGTACTTGGTCATAACCTGCTGTCGCGATTTGCCGTTTTTCAGTGCTTCCAAAATTTCCACTTTAGTCGCCAAGTTCTTCGCGTCGTAGTTCTGCCGCTTTTTCGGCGTTGCCATCACTGTAGCGCACGATGGTGGTGGCATGCAAATACGGTCACAATGGAAGAAAAAGAGAACTCCGCAAGAAGAGATGGTTCCGACACGACAACACAAGGGAAAATGGCGTCGGAGGCGCTGAATGGAGAAGAAAGAAGACGCCGACGTTCGGTGACGCTGCGGTCGCCCCCACTAGTTGATGATGATGGCGATGTCACTCAGGTTTCGGTTTCACTCCAGTAGTGCCAGCGCTGCTTTATCACACTTTTGTGTAGCAGCAGCCGTCAGCATTTGTCCGAATTAAGCGGTGCGGAGCCGAATTCCGACGAGATAACGAAGGTTTGGTCCCATAGATTAACATGCACTTTGGCCGGGACCAATAGAGCCGCCCGAATTTCCGAATTAACGGGTGTCGAATTAACGAGCTTTTACTGTATTCTGCAAAAGGTACCTGTTTCATCTAATTGCTAATAATGCATGCTACCTATCTGTTAAATGCAGATTAGCTACAGTGACTTCAGAAATCATAAATCATCTAAGTCCTCCTTGCCTGTTATTTTCTCTCTGCATCGGACCCCGCAGGGGCGCCTGCGCAAGTAGGCGTTTGGTGTGTAGCGACACCACGGACCCGAGCTAACGGGGGAGTTTCTACTCCCTCCCACGCCTAGCCGTGCGTGGCTTTGCCGTGTCCGGGGAAAAGGGGATCCTGGGGGTTGAGCCGACGCTGGGTGATTGGACCTTTAAGGCCCCCCGGCAGAGGCAACACACCCCTTTGGCCCCGGCTTCACGTAGACGGCACCCCTGGGCTGACCCACCCAGGGGAAATCGGCAGTCGCCTTTTCCTATCTCTCTCTCCCTACATCTTCGTCTTTTGTTCTCACTTTACATCTTTCCTGTCTTCTACTCTCTTCTGTATACTTCCAATTTTCCTGGCGGCAAGGGTTAACCCTGTGCAAATAGCCTACCTTGGTCTAGGCGCATTGGGTTATGGCAGTGTTGTACGGCTGACGTCTGCAAGCTTTCAGCACCTGTAAACTTGCAGCGTCCCCTTGTTGGGCTCCGTGGTGGGTGGCCGCCAACGCTGCTGAACAAAAATAAGACCGGCATGCAAGGCGCATTTCCTCTACTACCTGATCGTACCGGCCTAAAGCGGGTACGCACCGACGACATAAAACTCTTCAACCAGCCAATAGAAACTTTTCCCCACTTCCACGTCATTCACTGTGAAAAAACCGGAAAGCAAGCCAGGACCGTATCTCCTTTCGTAGTTGCCAGGTGTCTTA